AATTTAATATCTGTTGGTTGTATTTTATATTTTAGACCATGCTCGACTTTTTATAAAGAATAACTTTTTTCCCTATATTAATAATAAAAAAGATTTTTATATGCCGCCAATTTACGTAGACAGTTGGTGGCAGTCGTATAAAGAATAAAGGTACTTTACTCTTGAGTAAAACTCATATTTTTTGACAAACCTCGTATACTACTGAAAAAATTTGATATTTGATGACTGTATTCTAGGTTTTAGATAATGCAGAACTTTTTATGAAGAATAACTTTTTTTCTAAAAGTAATAATAAAAAAGTTTTCCATATGATTCCAACTTAGGGGGACATACTGTATATTTATGCAGGGTGATTCAAAATTGAGTGCAAAGATTTTAAGGGCGTATTTACCGGCCAAAAATAAAAATTTTTTATATAATCGTATGTCCTAACTTGCTTCGTTTTCAAAGTTTATTTAAAAAAAATCGGTTTTTTTAACAATTAATAATTAAATAAAATCACTCTTTGGGACGCCACTGGAATAAATATTGAATGAAATTTCATAACACAAATAAAAATTAAGACAGATCTATTTGGCTACAATACCCATCATTTAGTAATTAATTTTTTAACTTGTTTTATAGGACCTGGCATAGATTTTGATTTTTTTTCTTAGAAACAAAGCTAGATACGAGTAAAGCTCAAGAGGCAAGCAAGACACATCATTGATGGCTTAAACGAAAAAAAAAAAATTAAAATGTCAAAAAAGCAGTGCTGTACCCGAGAGGCAAATCACTCCCGCAATACGTGTACAAAATGTCCGCAATCCCATTGAAAATCGCCGCAGTCTCATCAAAATTAGTGACAATCGCTAAGAAATCGCCGCAGTCGTTCCGAATTCGCTTGCAGTCGTTCCGAATTCCCTTGCAGTCCCCCGAATTCTCTAGCAGTCACTGAGCAATCACTAGCAATCGTTAAAAATCGCGCGCAGTAAGGTGACATTAACCAATTAGCCATTGTTGATGTAGGGTGCTTTGATTAAGCCATCTAAACCATTTTGTGTAAAGAAATTGCAGTTTACATTTATCGAAAGGGTCCTTCCGTGCATTTTGAGGCAAGAACTATTAAGTTAAATTTACATTTTGGAATTTGAAGGTTTTTTTAGGATAAATTTAGACACTAAATCTACTTGTATACAAGATTTTACAAGGTGGTCGAAAATTGTCCCTTTTCATCTAGTTTTTTTTTTTAATGTATAACACAATTGTTGGTATTTTATGGGGGTTGGGGTGATACACGTTTTAATTAGGGTTTTAAATGTATTTTTACTTTCCTATCTGTTTACAGATAAGGAAAGTATAGGAATCATGATTTTTTTCAACGGTTTTTTATGTTTTGGGGTATCCTGAATCTGTTTTGACTATTTTCGCGATGATGTCTATGTGTGTGTCTGTATCCTCGATAACTCATGAACGGATACAAATAGAAACACCAAATTTTAAACTTAAGCTTTATTCCGGCGTCCAATTAGCTGATTAGATTTTGGGCAGAGTCGGAACATTTGGAGGGTACTTTATAGTCATCATTTTTATATTTTATGGAATATATCTGTTATTTACGTTTGGAGAAGAAATTTTTTCAAATAAAAGTTACTTACAATATTATTATCTATAATTTGTTTTATACAAAATTTGGTCCGTATTCGAGAAATTTGACAAAATGTAAAAAAAAATATTTTTTTATAAAAATTGTTCAAATAAAAGTTATTTGTAATATAATTCTCTATAATTTTTGCCCTATACATAATTTCTCTAAAATGGACCGTATTCGAGATATTTAAGAAAATGTGTAAATTTCGAATATTAAAGAAAAATCAAAAACGGATAAAGTAAAAAACATTAAATTTTAAACTTAAGTTTCCATATATGATGTAGATAATGAAAAGAGCATTTTTTATGGATTGGAAGATCTTAATATAAAGGATTTTTGAAATTACTAGACAAAAAGTGATTCTGATACCTCATTTTTAAACATAATTGTGAACAACAAAAAAATGAAGGTAAAAAAATCAGCTCTTTGTTGGTTATTTTCCACTGAAGACGGGCGCTTCTCAACTGACAGATTATCTCGTGTAAAAGGAACATCCTCAGCAGTACTAAATAGCAAAAAAAAAACAAGTCCAGAAAAACACAGCTAAAATACCAAATAACTACAATGACAAAGATGTAACAGAAAGTGAAAAAACTACCGGTGAAAACACTTTGCTCCAGAAAAATATCAATGGCATTTTAATTAGGAACGAACAATATTACGCAATTCTTTACGAGTCGTGGTACATAGGTCGGATTGTTCAAATAATTGATGAAAACACTAGTAAAATAAAAATTTTTAAATCTGAACTTGAAGAATATTTATGGCCAAAAAAAGACGACATTCAAATTGTTAAAAATAAATTAATATTTTACGGACCCATCAATTCAATTGGATCTGGTCCATTTAAACTAGAAACAAACATCAATAAAATTTGTTAATTACTTAATTACTTAACTTGTTTTATTTACCTGTACCTATTTGTTCATTTAGGCATATCAAAGATAATAATGGAGGCATGTAAGTACCTACATAGAAGTTTATATTTCGGGTATCACATCAATTAAAACTGATCTTTTAAATGAATAAAAAACGTACAAAAAGTTGATTTATTGATAAATTTGTCGTACACACTTAGTTTTAAATCAATGCATTGTATTTAGCACCTATACATGCGCTATACAAAATTTAGTTTTTCTGATGAAACACCTAGCTAATGCTTTTTTTACTGGAAACCAACTGGTAAGCCATACAATATCGTAGAAATCCTGCGGAATGCGTGCAATTTTGCAATAATACTGATAATCCATACGTACGAGTAAATCGCCGCAATCAATAGAGAAATCGTTGCAGTCAATACATAAATCACCGCAGTCACGGGAAATCTGTCGGAAGTCATGTGGAAATCACCGCAGTCATCCAGAAATCGCCGCAGTCATCTAGAAATCGCTGCAGTCATCCAGAAATCGCCACATGATTGCGGAAATCATATGAATTCGGCAATACATGTACATTTTTACAAAGAGTGATTTGCCCCTCGGCTGTACCATAATTTTATCTCTAAGTATCAAGTAGGTAGCCCCCTGAGACGCCACTGGAATTAATAAATTTATTTTATACTCACCAAAGAAAGGCCCTTATGACGTCAAATAAGTTTATAAGCTTAATAAGTTTTTGAGTAATTGATAAAAACAGATTTTTTTAAAACACTTTGACACTATATCTAGAAAGCAAAGCAAGTTAGGACATATGATTATATTAAATTTTTTTTTTATTTTTGGCTGGTAAATACGCCTTTAAAATCATTGCACTTAATTTTGAATCACCCTGTATATTTTAAAACTGCAAAATGCGTTATTAAAATATATTAATTTCAATATTTTTAATTTTTTTAATACGAGTTTCGAAATAGAGAAATAAGGTGATTAATAGGTAGTAGGTAGTAGTTTTTGAAACAATTTTAATTTTATATAAATAAAAAATTTCTTGGTTTATTCGGCCATGTGTTTATTTGTAATCGTTTAGCTAGCTCAGCACTACATAGGTTTTTATTTATTGTAATACACCTTCACACGCTGAAAGAGAAAGATGGGGTTTTAAATATTTTTAAACTAGTTGTAATCGTCCCCTTGTTTTTCAAAATTTTTTAAATTTTGACTGCACCCGAAGATGGAAAAAATTTTTTCCGCATCATATGTGGTGCTGTGCTAAACGATTAAAAATAAAAACATGACCGAATAAACAAAGAAAATGTTTATTTATATAAAATTCTGCTACGGTCAGGAAATTCCTTATTCAAATTTTAATTTTGTTTTCCAACGTTTTTTTAGAGTAATTTCGAGTCATACTTATTATTATATTTTATATTATATTTATTATATTTTAAAAAAATTATATGTAAGTAGTTTTTAAAAAGTTTTATTTTCAGTTTTTTGTTTTCTCCAAGATTTAGAGTTAATGTATTTTGAGTCATATTTATTTATATATTTTAAAACTGCAAAGTATTTTAATTATAATTTTTTTAATACGAGTTTTGAAATAGAGAAAAGGGTGTAAATAATATGTAGTATTTTTTTTAAACAATTTTATTTAATAAATTTATCAGAATTAAATATCATATAGCACAGTATAAATAACATCAGTCGACGCGCTATTTTTTATAGGGTTTTTTGCTATTAACAGAAAAATTAATATTGGTAATTTCGGTTATAAAACGTTTTTGAGTGTATATTCTTGAAGCAAAAAATGGGTATAATAGGTGTACAAAAACTACACAATCATTTTATAAATACATATTTAGAAAACCGTCATTATCTGATATCTACGATTTTTACAATGGTTATACGAAGAAAAAAGTCTTATCCGAATTAATCACATTTTAAAATAACTTAAAACTTGAAGATTTCTGAACGTTATTCAGACTCACCGTCTTGTTTAATAACATTATAATTAGATTTCTTCGTCTTCAACATCCTCAGAAAAGATCCCAATGCGAATATCGACCTTCTGTGTTTTTGAAAAATCTCAGAATAAAGAGTTTCTCTGAGTAGCTTCCTATCCAAATCTCTGGAAGGTATCTGCGGGCTGATAGTCGGTAGATTCTTACAATCCATAATGAAGGTTGAAACACCCTGTATTATATCACAGTAAAATAATTTTTGCAAGCATAAGGGTGGTGATTTGTTTTGTGAATTTTAAGGCAAGAAGCTGCAAGGCATATTCTCGATACGTACGTTGATAAACACTTAAACAGTCTACAACTATAAGCACTTTATAACTACCACCGTCCTTTAATAAAACGAAATTGCAAATAAGACCTTGTTTATTTATTAAACAAATTATCGTAGCAATTTATTTATAACATGACGTAGATTCGCAGGTTTTTTTTAACTAGCTTCTACCAGATCGTACAGCTTGTTATAATACTGACCGAAAAATTCTTCGTAAATATCATCGGCGTTTATTTTGTCTAGGATTTCGTCTATTTTGTTGGTCACTTTGTATGCATCACTGCCGGATTTATAAAAGTTGTTTAGAATCCTTTCAAAATCTTGAACTTTTACGGTTTCGTAGATTTGTCTTAACTCTTTGCTGCACACTTGAAAATTTTTATACTCGGTTACGTTCACTTTCAAAGGCTGTCTCACTATTTGTTCTTTATTAACTTTTCTCGAACAATGGCTTTTCTGCGATTTTAGTTCGTCAACGTCCAACGTGAACTTTATGTTTTTGTTGCTGCCGGTATAACACTTGTTTATCGGATTCAGAAGTTTTATACTGTTGCCACTAACGCACAAACTGTTTATGTATAACTTTTCCTCCCCACCGCTGTATTTTCGCATATTTCACTAAAATATTTTGTTACCACTTTATTTTACGAGTGTTGCGGAGAGAAGCGTTGTCGATGTCGATCGCTTGCTGTACATGTTGTCAATTGTTTCTGAAACGTCATTTAGTGTGTCGTGTGTCGTCGTTCAAAAGGTTACCTACTCTCTAATAATCAATATTGTTAAAATTTCCTTATTCCTCTTTCTCCGGTCATATGGTTCGACAGGGGCGGAGTTTGCGGAATTCGCGCCGTTATTGATTAACCGCGGCTGCGTTGTATTAAGGGTGGACGAGTGGACTCAGGAGAATTGTAGATAGATAGATATTTATTTAAATAGGAAACCCTAATATACAAATAATATTTTAAAAATACAATAAAAAAAAGTAATAAGTAATAAAATTTACAATAGAAAGTAATAAAGACAATTACCTATAATGAGGCTGAAGCTAGCAGACAAACCGCGTGGCGGTCCCTTAATATTTTGATATTGTTATTCGGCAAAATCTTTGGTTTAGGTGGACTTTAGTATCATGAAAGTTTAAAAATAAATACAAATTAGTGTATTTATTAAAAAAATGGATTAAGGCGGCAGTTTAATACGACCTCCTCGGCGATCGGGGACCGTTACATATCTTATATTCGAACCCGTCATAACAGCGATAAACTAAAAACGTTCTCAAAACTATTTTCCCTAATTTGGATGGAAGCTTCTGCTACTGACTCGCAGATAAACGCATTTTGTAGAGACGACGGATATATTGCAATGATGCCGATACATATTATAAATCCCGATATGTCTTTTTTTTTTCGTAGGAATAGAAATAGTATTAGCACAAAAATATTTTATTAAAATGCATCTTTGTTTTAAAAATAACGGAATTTAGAAATGGAAGGGGATTGAGGCTTAATTTTAGCACTATATGTGGTCTATTCTGTAACAATTCCTTTATATTTAACGGCCTTTAAAAATATTTTCTTCTTTACTTCTGTCATTATTTAAACGGATCTTTAAAATACATTAGAGGACTATCTTAAAGAAATCTGTTTAAATAATGACAGAAGTAAATTAACGAATACAAACATACTTTTAAAGGCCGCCAATATTTTTAAAGGCCGTTAAATATAAAGGAATTGTTACAGAATAGACCCCTAAGTCAGGCCAATGTAAAGGACTGGTGTATTTTTTAATTACGACAAGCATTAGGTTTTACATGATAATATTAATAGGATATTTTGAAGATGCTCCAAAAAAAATTACTATATTTTTATATCTCAATATATTTTTAAAAAGGAGTGACTACCGGGCGTATTGATTATACGATGCTTATTGACATTATTAGTATACCACGAAAATAATATTTAAAAATAACATGATCTAACTCTGTACGAAATATACACTATTCCAATTATTCATTATCTTTCTCTACTTTGCTAAGATTAACCGGTATAGACGAGCTGGTCGCTTACAACATGTAGAAGCAGAAGAAATTAGGAAGAGCCAGTAGCGTCTTGATGTGTGTTTATTATATAAATATTGGTTAGTTTGTTTAAATTTTTTCTATTTATAGAATTGTTTGGAAAAAAATAACTGACCGATAATTTTTGTACTTCCAATAAAAGATATTAGAAAATGAATATTTGGAAATTTTAGTCAACTTCACACCAATCTGATACTTTTAAAATATTTATCATCACAAAGAGTTTTCTTTTTTTACTTTCCTATCTGTATACAGATATAAGGAAAGTGTAGGAATCATGATTTTTTCGGCCTCAAGTTTTCGACGGATTTTTACGTTTTGAGGTCCCCTGAATCCGTTTTGACTATTTTCGCGATGATGTGTGTGTGTGTGTGTGTGTGTGTGTGTGTGTGTGTGTGTGTGTGTGTGTGTGCGTGCGTGCGTGCGTGCGTGCGTGCGTGCGTGCGTGCGTGCATGCGTGCGTGCGTGCGTGCGTGCGTGCGTGCGTGCGTGCGTGCGTGCGTGCGTGTGTGTGTGTGTGTGTGTGTGTGTGTGTGTGTGTGTGTGTGTGTGTGTCGCATAACTCATGAACCGATACACAGAAGAACACCAAATTTTAAACTTAAGCTTTATTCCAGCGTCTAATGAACTGATTAGATTTTGGGCAGAGTCGGAACATCTGGGGGGGTACTTTATGGGTGATCATTTTTATATTTTATGGAATATATCTGTTATTTACGTTTGGAGAAGAAAATTCTTTAAATAAAAGTTACTTCTAATATAATTATCTATAATTTTTGTTTTATACAAAATTTTCTCAAAATGGTCCGTATTCGAGAAATTTGACAAAATCTAAAAAAAATATTTTTTAATAAAAATTGTTTGTAATATAATTCTCTATAATTTTGAAGAAAACTCAAAAACGGATAAAGAAAAAAATAATAAATTTTAAACTTAAGTTTTATTTCGGCCTGACGTGAAATGATTAGATTTTGGACATAGTCGGAACATCTGGGGGGGTACTTTATGGGAGGCCACTTTTATATTTTATGGAATATATCTGTTATTAATGTTTGGAGAAAAAAATTGTTTAAATAAAAGTTGTTTGCGATATCGATCTCTATAATTTTTGTTTATATATGATTTTTCTAAAATGGAGCGTAATGGAAAAATTGGAGGAAGAGTGCTAAATTTAAAATTTTCAGTTTTTTCGTTTCTAATGAATATAGAAAAATGTTTCGAGGTAGATGTATGTGGAAAATGTATATATTTAGTTTATCCTCTAAATATTTATAGAGGTGCTGCAGTAGGTTGTTCAAAATAACCGAAAAAAGCCTATAATAACTAGATAGGAAAGTCATGTGTTGGACACATCAGATTTTTTTTGTAATAATAACCATAATGCTGGAAATAGTAGACATCAGAAACTTGAAAGGTTTTAAATAAACAATAAATTATCATTTTACGATGTTCTTTAATATCCCTTTATTCTTAAATGTTCATTCAACAAGGACTAGATTTCAAGATTTCTGCCTTTGAGTATTATATGTGTTTGGAACGCAATTTTGTAACTTACCGATGGGAAATCAGTTTTAATCATTCATTCTATGTTTTCTTTCGAACAAAAATGAAAATATAAGTAATGATCCTTTTTTTTTATACATTTTAACTTCACGCTTTTATTAAATGGTATTTTTTTATTTTGATAGAACTCCTCATACATTTTCCAGTAAATACTGTTGCCTGCCTATATTTTATTATTGATTTTTATCGATTATACATCATTTTCTTTAATTTAAGCGATAAAAATATATAATAATAATAAATTAATGTTTTACTTGTTTTACAAATCCATATACTTTTATTAAAACTAACATATATACTTTTTAATTACAAATTCTATTAAAAGTTGCATTTGTCAGTATACGCAGAAATAGTCCATTAGTATCAAAACGAATTGGCGCTGCTGTCGCGCACGGAGCGAATAGAAAACCAATGCTATTGACACAGCTATTGAATAGACATAGAGTATACTTACTATCGCACTACCGAGAGAGGTGTAACCGTGCATTCAATTACGACATGTAAACAGGCAAAAGGAGAGCTATTCTCTGTTTTTTCTCATAATTAAGCGTCATCCTTATTTTACTGAGTGAGTTTGGTTTCCATATTGTATGACACCCCACATTCTAATAACAGAGGTTTGACGAGGGTCAAAATATGGCAGGGCACACGGTATATTCAACTTAATTGATGGAAATCAAATTATTTACTATCAGATAGATAATAGAGTCGTGAGACAGAGTCAATTAGGGTTTTGTTGATTTTTCGTAAATAACGGCATTATTTAACTTAATGATAAAGGAGAAAGCTTTGAGATTAGCCTAACAAATAATCTGCTTTGTAATAAAGTGTATTCTGTATACTATAGTATAGTTTTACGACCGAAGATTTATTTTTCATTGCGTAGTGCATAGTTTCGGTCAGAGATAATTTTAATTTTTCACAATTATATCAGCCTTATTAGAGAGTTGAAGTGATGCTATGAACGTTAACGTGTACGTGAAAACTAACATCCGCACATGCGCAAGATATTCGACGTTTAATTAATCAGGAAAGAATAAAGATCATTCCGAAAATTGAATAAAATATATATCTATGCTATCCTTATTAAAAAATATTCATGTTAAATCCTGTGAAATATGCACGCCACTGATATGGTCATTTGATGACATTTTTACAAAATTCGGTCAATGTAAACATTATACAATAATAATTATAGCATAAAGAGAGGGTAATTTATAATGAATAACCCTGTTAGGTACCATAAATTTTCAGTAAAAAAATTTTAATTCGCACTTTTTTACGTAGATTAAAGAAAAATGTAATTTCGTGTTTTCTTGGTGCAGACATTTTGCGACACACTGTATATTCAAATCCAAAATGATGTATTTTCTTTTAACACATACCTAATACAAATTTATTAGCAAAATTTTAATACTTGTTATTTTCGGTATATTTCTCCTTTAGACACACACATTTTTAGTTTCATTGTTAAAAGATTTAAATAAAATTACCGGACCTTATAATATTCTATTATAATTTGATGATCCCGAGTGGCCATAGCAAAAAGACGAAATTTGAGCATGAAGTTAGATGTCATTAACGTAAAATTCATGTTTTGAAATTAATTTAAGTTTTACCATTTAGAAAATAAAATTAAATAATTAAAAAAAAAGTGTCTACTCGTGGGTTTGAACTCGGAACCCTTAGATTCATAGACAAGTACTCTAAATTTTCGTTATGAAGACTTATGAAAAAGTTTTACTTCTTAACGCTGACAATCAGATTACTTTTAGTTTCATTAAAATTTCAGTTTATTTCTAAATATAGACGAATATCTTGTGGAATGCTATTATTTATTGATTTTTTACAAGAATCACTAATTTTTAATTATATTTAATCTCAATAACTAAAAAAAATATATACTGACAATTAATTTGACGGAATTGTCACTTATAAAGTTCTAACATCTGACGTAGAGGGCGTATCTAGCCGGTAAAATCGTTAGTTCAATGATTGTACCAATAGATGTCGGGAGCGATTGCCTCCAATAACTTTTACATGGCGATTATCCTACTATAGTTCTTTATACAATGACAAGGCAGTTGCTCGCATCTGAATGGTCCATCGCAACTAGTATTTCCCACCATTCAGTTGGTGTTAATTTGAAATAAGTGTCCGTTAAAACTGTTGTAAAAGCTCGTTGATTTAATAAATATATACATTGTATAGATATAATTGGTATTTGATTTTATTTATTTTGATTTTAGAAGCATAATTTTCCAGAAAATTTTGTCAAATGGAAAAAATATATTATTTAACGGTGGCAATGTAGTAAATGTGTTATATACATTTAAATAAATATGCATTTTTTAGTATACGTTTACTCTGTCATATTAAATTAATTTTTACACATACTTTAATTTTGGTTTTTAATTGATCTTATATTTATTTCTTATAGTCCATAGTAAAATTAGTGGTGCAAGCAAGAAAAAAACTCGTCAATATTCGGAGGAATATTTAAAATTTGAGTCCACGATGAGTGGATTCCTTTTTGTTTTTTATGCCAGCAATGCTTGACCAACGAATCAATGAAATGAGGTTGTCTTGAGGCGCATAAACATAGTGCTCATATTAATTCAGATTTGAATTGCTTTAAAACTTTAAAGGAAAATTTTGAAAAGGGAACAACATTAAAGTCTCTATTTACTGCTCATACTTCAACTAATAATCGGGTTCTTGAGGCTAGTTATCAAATTTCTTTATTCATCACTAAAAGTGGAAAAAATCATACTATAGGAGAGAATTTAATAAGACTGTCCATATCAGCATTTCTTAAAACGGTTCATGAAAAAGATGACAAAGATGTAGAAGCTATGCTAATCAGTAACAATACTGTTAGCAGAAGAATAGACGAAATGAGTAAAGATATTGAAAAACAACTTGTTGAAAAACTGAAAACAAGAAATTTCTCAGTGCACATGGATGAATCAACTTTGAGAGACAGTGAGACAGTATTGATAACTTGCGTAAGATATATTGATAAAGAGCATTTTGCTGAAGAAATGTTGTTCTTAAAGATTAGAAAGCATTACTACCTCCAAAGATATATATAAGATATATATAATAAGCTAAAAAACTACTTAGATGTCAATGATATACCAATGAAAAATATAACATGTTATGCAGCAGATGGTGCACCTAATATGATGAAGAAAAATGGCTGCTTAAAATTGATGAAAGATGCGAATCCAAAAATGATTCTTGTGCATTGTGTTATTCATAGGGAAAACTTGGTAGCTAAAAGCATATCGCCTGTTCTAAATGAAGTATTACATTCAGTAATAAAGTGTGTTAATGCTATTAAAGCTAATGCCAATTTGAGCGTCTCTTCAAGCTATTTTGTGAAGAACAAAATGAAGACCATGTGAGACTTTTACTTCACACTGAAGTAAGATGGCTATCTAAATGAAACTGCTTGAAAAAATTTATGGAACTGTTTGATACTCTTAGTGATTTTTTAAGCGACAAACCTGAAATGAAGTCTGTTAAAAATCGATGGTAAATCATTTGTGAGTTATTTAGCCGATATCTTTGAAAAACTAAATATATTAAATAAGCAATTTCAAAGAACAAATAAAACTCTTGTCGATGCAAAAGCGAAGATATTTGGTTTCATTACCCATATTGAGTTATGGCAGAAACATATTAACAACAAAAACTTTGAACAGTTTTATAGGCTCCAAAAATGTGAAGTAACTGATACTGCTTTACTTGTTGTTGTCAATCATCTGAATATTCTATCGGCTGATTTAAAAGAAAGATTTTCTAATTTAAAACATATTGATTTTCCAACATGGATGATGCAGCCAATCTTAGTGGATTTGTCTGATATATCAAATATGCAGTATCAAGAAGAACTAGAATTACAAAATGATGAGTCAGTTAAAACTTTATTTAATATAAAATTAGCGATGGCATGGCTTTGTGAGGAAACAGAAATCAAATACCCAAATTCAACCAAATGTACAAGAAAACTATTGCTACCGTTTCCATCTTCATATTTAGCTGAATGTGGATTTAGTGCTGTAAATGATTTACTGGTAAAAAAAAATCGGCTCTATATAACACAATGTCGAGACTTGAGACTGAAGCTAACCAAATTGGAACCTAATATAAAATCTCTGTGCAGCAAGCATCAAGCGCAAGGATCTCACTAAATTAAAATAATTATTATGTAAAAATCTGTATTAAAATTATTTGGAATTTGAATTTCAGTTTTTCATTATATGTTTTGAAAATTTACTTACTGTGTTGTGTTTCGTTAACAATTTCCTAGTGATTTCTTCCTAAAACCTATCATTTAAGTTTCTTAAGTGAACAGTTCAATTTTTTTAAATTAAAAATTATGTATATTAGGGAGGGGGCATAGGAATTTTAGAAAGGCTAAGAAGGGCATGGCACAAAAAAGGTTGGGAAACACTGGCGACCAAGATGTGGCCCAAATCGCCACGAGGAGAATGTCTCGTGTGGCCTCAATTACTTCTTTATAATTGTTGGGTTTATTTTCTCATAACGTGGTTTTAATAAGCGGACTGTATTTGAATGATTTTATTTATTTCAACAAACACTGAACTACATAAAATAACAAAAAAAATTTACGATAAAAAAGTCAGGAACGTTTTGGCAACCTGACTCAGCCGGCTGCTGCATAGCGAATGCCGAATGGCAGAGAGAGACGTCACCTGGTTTAAAGTGTCATTCCAGGACGGAGTGTTAACAATAATCTCGTTCCATAATTTACTGTTATTTTATTTATGTTTAATATTTATTTATTTATTCACCTTATACGTGATCGCGATTCAAAATATATCCGCGAATGGATTAAACATTATTTATGTAAAGAGTGTTATTTTAGAATAATTTATTTGAAAAGATGGATTTAATAAAGAGTGAAAATAAGTAAAACGACACCGCAGAGGTGCCGACTTGAAAAAACCTTAAAAACATAGTTGTCAACCTCTAAAAAAAAAGTAAAGCGAGGCATTTTATTACCACTACTATAGTCTATTTTTATGTATGAGATAGTATTAGAGGGAATGCCCACTCACGCGACATGTCGCGCGCGACTGATCGCGCGCGGCAATACTTTTGATGTTTTTAAATGACCACGCGACAGAACCGCGTTAATGGGCTTTGAGTCATTTAAAAACATCAAAAGTATTGCCGCGCGCGATCAGTCGCACGCGACATGTCGCGTGAGTGGGCTTTCCCTCTTAAAATAATAAAGCGTTCGTAATCCATAGGCGGACCACTTCTTTTAGTAGACAGTTAAAATATTTTTTGAAGTTATTCCTCGAGTATACACTTATATTTTCACCTAATTAACCTGCTTATAACTTCTAAACAGCTGAAGGTAAAAAAGTGCAATTTTTTCTAAAATGTTTTATTTTTCCAAAAGGTATGTTAAGAACATTGTGTCAAACGGGTTATGTAGGTATAAGGATTTAAACTTTGACTTTTAAACTAAACTACTTCTTACCTACAAATCCAAATCAGAATCGAAATCAGAAGATGAACTGTCGCAACCAATATTTAGAATGAGTGGCTCGATCATTTCATCAGTAATATTGTCCAACTTCCACATTTTCTCTTCTTCTTTAATCGTATGATTTACTGCCTTTTCCCAGTTTTCAGGCTTCACATTATTTACAGCCTCCAAAAACAACGGTTTAACATCACTCATTTTAAAAGAATTATTTTTTCTTGAAACTTCTCCCTTTATCTGTGCCCACATCAGTTCAATCGGGTTTATTTCGCAATGATATGGTGGTGATCTAACCTCCGTCATCCCACGATTTTTTGCAATTTCATCAATTTCATATTTTTTAAATTTCTCTTTATGAAGGGAACCGGAATGGAACTTAATATTCTTTGAATTTAGCCAATTCTGTAAATCTTTTTTTAACCACTTGGTTGTGGGCATTTTTTCTATAAGTCTCGAGTGATAACTTGCATTATCCATTACTATTATACAGTTCTGAGGAAGAAGATCTATAATTTGTTCGAACCACTCTTTAAAGACATCAGCATTCATGTCCTCATGGTAGTCACCGGTACGAGTAGATTCAAAAGTCAATAAACCATCTTTAACAAAACCGTTTGAACTACCGATGTGTACTATTATTAGTCTGCGCCCCTTTTCTGATGGTGGATTTAAACCAGTAAATAAATTATTTAAAAAAGCCTGTCTTCGACTTGTAACAGTTTCATCTTGCCAAAATTTATTTGGTTTATGTCCCTCGTTGATCCATGTTTCATCTAAATAAAATATATTTCTTCTTTGGTTTCTCATTTCTTTTATAGTCCTTAGGTAGTTTCTTCTCCATACTACAATATCGCTTCTTTCTATTAAAATAGACTTTCTGGAATGCTTTTTCCATAGAAAACCTATTTCTTTTAAAAGTTTCCATAGTGTGCTTCGACTCATTTCAGGGTAATCCTTATCATCTCGAACCGTGGCAAGAACTTTGTCTACTGTCGGAAATTCTTTTCTAAAGAAGAACGCATGCACTTTTCTTCGAAGTCTTTCTTTCAAAAGAATTTCTAATTGAAATTTTGGTTTTCGTGGAGCTTTACGTGCTGTTTGAAACTCGCCACATTTCTCTTCTTTAACAACTCTGTAAATCGTAGATTTCCCAACACCAAGCGTACTACTAACCAATTCCACTGTGTCATCAACACTTTTACATAAATGTTTATCTGTAAATGATTTAAAACAATTAAATATTAATGTTTTTTCATTAATTGTTAAAGGACCGATTTTTTGTCGTTTATGCGGCCCTTCCAAATTTTCCATGATCACACTAGAATTCACACTGCACCTTGCAAGTTGCAACTAAACGACATTTAGTAAACTGTCAAGAATACACAACTTGGACCTCCTTACTAAATGGAAAACCTATAATCGCATTCTCGGTGAAATTTGTTGGGAAGGTATTTATCTACTTATAATTCGATTACTGTAAGAAATTCTTGGAATTAAAATAAAACAAAATTGGCAAATAGGTACTTATTGAAAATAATCTTAAGATACGGCTATCCAATCTTTAATACACAGGGCTTTTGGCCTGTCCAAACCTTTTTCTATTGTTCTGTACAGCTTATGTTTATAAAGGACCAATAAAAGACCCAAAACTTGTAATAGCTCAGGTACATTTATTACAATTTTAGGAAATATTTAGATTATTCTGTAAAAATATTTAAAATGACCGTACTAAGTTTTGCATTAGAAATGCTGTTTTATTACTCTCTCATACATAAAAATAGACTATAGCGGACCCGACAGACGTTGTCCTGTCTTAACTATGAATATTGATTGCGAATTGGTATAATTAACTAAAAAAATATTTTAGAAACAAAAAGTTCATTATTCTAATACAAACACAACAAAAAAAGAATTAACGAAATTGGTCCAGCCGTTCACGCGTGATGCCGTGACCAAGGGAAATAGGGATTCATTTTTATATATATAGAAATTTTCTAATTTTCCGCGCAATTTTCTTAATTTTTTCTTTTATAAGAACCTTTTCCGGACAATGACAAACACAACAAAAAAAGAATTAGCGAAATCGGTCCAGCCGTTCACGCGTTATGCCGTGACCAAGGGAAATAGGGATTCATTTTTATATATATAGAAATTTTCTAATTTTCCGCGCAATTTTCTTATTTTTTTTTTCATAAGAACCTTTTCCTGATAATAACAAACACAACAAAAAAAGAATTGCGAAATCGGTCCAGCCGTTCACGCGTTATGCGCTTACCAACACATTTTGCGATTCATTTTTATATTATAGATACGCGACATTGGTTTTTTGTCGCAGTTACTGATCTTACCTCATAAATAACACAGCCCCCCAAAAAAAAGTGGGTTGCTGAATTCAAATATAACATCGGCGAACACCCCCTGGACACCTGGTGCGCTGGAACCGGCACGTGGACGTCTTCTCCGATAAGTTTCTTGCTAAGATTGCCAAAAACAAGCCGAAAAACTTTGTAGGGGTATTTTTTAGGGTCCTTGATCCAAATTTCACGTCTAAAACGATCCCCGAACACCTAGTGCACCGAAACGTCGTCTCCGAGGGTTCTTCATACACAATCGCTAAAGACAAACCGAAATGCAATAACAGAAGATCGACTTACCAATTTAACAAAATTTTTTGATGATATATTAGATAATTTTAAAGGATAGGAGAATCGACCTTATGTACAAAAAATTTTTGTGTTTTATTTTCAACGCGTCACCTACATTCAAACTCACGAGCCACCACTGATTTATAAGTCCGGCTGGAAAATATTCATCCCATTTCTAGTACGAACTGTGAGAAATTATTCCGTATTCAAAAATAAAAACAAACAATTCGTGTATTATACACGAATTTCTATTTTTATTATTTTGCTACATTAACAATTTCAATTTATGTCCTAATTTAATTTTAAATTCCTTAAAAATAAGGAAATCATTAACTTATGTTCTGTCTTTGTTTACTTCGATTTGTAGAAAGGAAAATATCTATTCACCTGTGTTGTTTCGATTTATGGAAAAATAACAAGTATTGTTAAAAATAATTTAAGTAGGTATTTTTTCTAAAAGTTTGGCACTGGATGGTGGTGTGAATGTTCGAAAGATGTTAAAATTATTATCCAATTTAAATATTGGGTAAAATACATTTCATTTGCATAAGTCACAAATATAAAGACTATTTATTGTCTAGACAAAATCAAAATTCTTGGAAGGACTTGCAGTGGTTATTAGTGTAATCACAAGTGACCTCTTGGTTAAGGTCCCTTGAAGAATTCATACTCATTTAATGATGGTTTAATGTAAACGACCTCTGTCTACAAAATAAACACATTATATTCTTGTTAAATTTAATTTATAATTCTTTAATTCGGCAACACACAGAAATGACCTTACAAAAATGCGAAAGATTTGTTTGTTTATATTATACTATTTAAAGAAAAGAAAGACCCAAGTTATAAATTCCAAAATGGAACTTTTATTTTTAAAAATTTTATTAAGTATAAAATACACTTAAATGGATATCTGAACTAAAGCTACTTCGAATAACTAACTAGAGTCAAATAACTATAGACAAATAACAATAATAATAAGGTTCTACTCCTATTTATAAAGTAAAACTGATTATTAATCAAAGAT